CTTTTAAAATGATATTAATTTTATTTTTAATATTTTTATATAAAAATTTATATAACTTTCTAAAAATGTTTTGGATAATAACTCTGCCATGACAAAGAGAGCAATCAATGAAAAAAAAAATGTAGGACGTTAGCCTAGGTTAGGGTATGAGCTTAACGTTTCAAATTTCTAAGTTTACGTGTGAATTTTACCCCAAAGATATATTAATTAAAATGAGTTGGTAATTAAGATTTCTGGACAGAATGTGAGCTTAATTAGATGTAATTTGAGTTTGATTGGTCATAAAATGAGGATTTTTTAATATGAAATAAACGAGGAAGAATCAAAATGTTGATTACATTAAAACCTCTATAAATTAATACTCGATAAATTCATTACTTTTTTAAAATAATAACTTTCCCGGTCCTTACTAGGGTCAAGGTCTAACTTAATAATTTTGATAAATTAATAAGATAATAATTTTTCGGAATATCCTTATATAATTTTATGGTCCCTTCAATATTATAAATTAATAATTCTATAAAATTACAAATATGACTAGGACAAATTATTAAAATATGACTCTAGAAAATATGTGCAACTTAGGAGGTTGTTGAGGGTATAGAAGTTTCATTGTCTATCTTAACTTCTCCAAAATTAGCTCTCTAAACATGTTTACACGTAGGGATGATATGGGTCGAGTTGGGTAAGGATTCCGATCAACCTGATCTAATCCGACCCAAGGTTAGGGTGACTTCACCCGACCCAAACTTGAACCCGATCTACTTTTTTTTAGATAAAATATGAACCCGAGAAAATATATTTATATAAAATATTACTTTTCTTCAATAAAAATATGATATATTTAAAAAATAATGATATATAGATTGATATTATTGTAATTTTTCCTAAATAATATAACCGAAACTAGTCGGGTTCGGATCTCGTGTTCATCCCTATTTACACATTCTTGGTATTGGAGAAACCACTCAAAGAACATTATCCTATCTCTTGATGTTTTGTAGGTTTGTGTCGCTCGGTATCCCCTCCTTTTTTCTAAGTTAGCCGAAAGATACTCAAATGATCACTTGAGTGTGTTTAATAGTGTACCTTAACTAACTTTCAAATAAAAATTTTCATCAATCCAATATTACAAATATTTTTGAGTGCATGTGGGGTGCTCTCTCTTACACTCACATAATGCTTTATGCATTTGATGTGTAATGGTTGACTTTTGAACACCTTTTACATATGAAGCCATGGTTAGTTAGTTTTGATTTGGATTGACTAATTAAAAATGTTTGATGTTATTTATATAGTGGTTGATTTTCTTATCATACATGAAATTGCATTAAGTTTTAACTAGTACCTAGTACTACGTACTACAATGAACTTTGTTTATTTAGGGGCGTGTATTATATTTAATTAGTCATATTGTACATGAACATCATTCAGTTAATCAATACAATGTATATGTTATATTCATGAAGAATGATGTAGATTCATTGAATCATAAAAAATAACTTTAAATTCATAAATTGTTAATTTATCAATTAATTAATACTCGTTTAAATTAATAAAACTATGTAATCCGGATGTTGTTAATTTACATAGATTTTAATGTTTATAATCATTATTAAATATTAGGCTGATATCTTGACATTTTAGCTAAATCAAATGTGGGTTGTTTAAGTAAAAAATGAATACTACCTTTTCTCTTTCATCTTCCTATCCCTCTTTCATAGTAAAAGCTCACACATCTCAAAGGTGAAAGCTTTATCAATTTCCAGAGGATTTTGATTAAAAGAATGTAAGATTTAGAAGGATTTTGAAACCTAAAACTTACCTGTTGGATTCAGACTCGTTTTAGTGTTATGAAAGAATTTTTATGTTCTTTATGAGCTCTGATTTATGTTAATAATCCATTTTTCAATTGTTTATTTGATGCAAGAGCTTGGAGAGTCATAATGCAAATGGGAAGGTGGAATATAGTATAAAGTTAAAATGAGAGTTTCATTTTACGATTTTACATTAATATAGCACACTTTAACTTTGAAAGCTGCTTGAACTTTATGAAAACGATATTTTGTTGATTTTATGCATGTCTAGTGTTTTGAATGCTTTAGCATGCTTCGAATTCAAATTGAGGTAGTAGTTGTTGTTAAACATGTGTTAAATGGTCTTATGTAACCGTCAAAAAATCTTTTGAATCGATTTAGGCTTAAACAAGAGTGATTCAAGAGTTTTAGAGTAATTACCTAGTTTAGAAATAGCCCCTTCTGAGCTTAGATATTAATACTTGAACAACATTAATGTATATGAATTTATAAAGAAATCTAAAAAATATTAGTATCCGTATTGATATTATTCTTCGAGTATCGCTGCTGAAGGTTGAATATCGAGATCGAAGAACTTTGAGACATTTTCTAACATCGATACTAATCAAGGGTATCAATCCCATAAATACCTCTATTTGAAATGATTCATTTGAATTAAATGTGTCAAGTCCAAAATCGAACTTGATTTTTTTTTTAAATCAAATTGGGATCTAATTAATCTAACCCGTGGATACCTTTATTTCAAATAAATATGAAACATAAAAATATCCTTTTACATTTTTGCACATTTGTTTATTTAGTTTGCTCTGAACCATTTTTTAAGAGTGATAATTATTTTTTCAGCATGTTTCTATTTACACATATATAAAAGAAATTAAAATTATTATTTAATTTATTAATTTTAGGTATAATGTCAAATTTTATTCTTAACATTTATCTAAATAGTTATTTCAATTCGTATATAGTAAAACTTCTATAAATTAATAATGTCAGGACCATGTAATTGTATTAATTTAAAGAAGTACTAATTAATCAATAACTTAATAATTTATTAATTTAAAGAGATTTTTTTCCTATTCAACGAACCTACATTATTCTTTATGAATAAAGCATATACATTGTATTGACTGGTTGAACGATGTTCATGTACAATACGACGACGATTAATGGTCTTGAGTACCACAACAAATGTATGGCAATTACCTATAGGATTATTCGGATAAAAATGATACATGCTCTTATGTCTAAAGTTTTGAAGAAATTATAGTTAGTGTTATTGAAAATTCTATTGGTGATGAAACTAAAGATAATACAATATTTTTGCAACCAATTACGCAGAAAGAAGCACTTATAGTGGAAACAACTCTTTATAATTTTTTGTTGCAGTATGAAACGTAACACCAAAACTTTTAGATGCAGTAAGGAAAGTTAGAGATAATATACGACTAGATTTAAATTTTAAGAAGAAACATACAACAGTAAAATCATATTTTACTAAGTCGTCTTGATTATATTTGTAATTTTATAGAATTATAAATTTATAATATTGAAGGGAACACAAATTTTTATAAGGGTCTTTTGAAAAAAATATTATCTTATTAATTTATTGAAATTATTAATTTAGATCTTGGGCCTAAATTGGGACCGAGAAAAAAATATTATTTTAGAGAGGTTATTAACTTATCGAGTATTAATTTATAATATATTTTTTAAAAATAGTTTAATAATCAATTTTTTTATTTTTTGTCAAAGTAATATTTTTTTTGAATGAGAACGGTGAATTAACTGAGAACAGTTAATTGACTAACATCAAATGCTTGTTGTTGAAGATGTTTTTTTACATGTAGACATGATGTATATAACATTAACACTTAAACACACATAAAATATGTCATTTAACAATTAAACATATTGAAAAATATCACATCAAAAATCAATTACTCCCTCTTTTTTGTTGTTGAAAGAAATGAGATATTATATTTCAATTGCATCGAGGAGAATTACATGTCTAATATAATCAGGTTCATCATAAAAAAAAATCTAAACGGATTAGGATTCAACAAAGCCCAATGGATAAGTGTATGCACAACACGATTAGCATCCTTGTTAACGTAATACACTTTCAAATCTTTATTAGAATTCAGAAAGGCTCGAGCTTCGTTAAGTAACAATCCTATGATTGAGGCATCTGCTTTGTGGTTGACGAGCCTGTTGACAATATTTATCGCGTCCCCTTCAATGATAGCATTTGTCCATCTAATCTCCACAGCGAATTTTATCCCTTGAGTGAACGCTTCAACCTCGACCGACTCTGCATTAAATGGTTGGTAAAGTTGTCAGCATATTCCTCCTAGAACCATACTGTTATGATCTCTAGCCACTATCCCGATGGCGGCAACTTGTTCCAGCGGTTTACAAGCCCCATCTACATTGATTTTAATCATATTCACATTAGGTCTTGTAAGAGGCGGTAGAACTTTTCCATCAAGATTTGCCATTGTTAATTCTGCACATATGTTTCATAATGCCATCACGACATCTTTATCAGCTTGCATTTCTTTGTCGTGGACCCATTTGTTCCTGCGATCCCACACGTTCCAAAGCAGAGTGATTAATCAAGAAAAACCTTCTGTATCCATTTTGGAGATTGTCCATTCCTTATTCCAGCCACTCTTTGCATGAGTTTCCTTGTCACGTGATAATTGCCTCTTCAAGCCCGGAGATTTGAATAACTCTCTTCATTTTGGGGCACCCCTTAAGAGCGTGGATAGAGCTTTCGCTCTAAGCGGAGCACATTGGACATATTCCTTCAGAGAGTTTTGCTTGTTTCAACTTTTCCCCTGTAGGAAATGTGTTGTGACATACTCTTCAGCCAATGATTCTATTTGGTAGAACCGAAAGTTTACTTAGTAGTTACTATATTTTCCCTTGTTCAATCGGAGTATTCCTTCTCAGCAGTAACCAATTATAACCCAATTTTGCAGAATAACATCCGGAGCTATGGTGGCTCCAAATCATTTTGTCTTCTAGGGTTGGAGCGATGAGCGTTGAGCTGACTTTATGGGCACCTCCGGGTGGAGAATTTGATTTATCTTGCTGATGTCTCATTTTGCGGAATTGGGAACCATGAAGTCAGTGCATTTGAAAGGAGATCCATAGTTGTCTCTGTACGAACTTGTCCACTCAATGGGCGATGAGTCCCTCCACTTTGTCAATGAACATTCTCGTTTTGCCATCTGCACTAATTCTCCAGAAGAAACCATCTTTTAGCGTCTTTTTTGCTTTAAAAATACTTGCCCACGCGTAAGAGGCAGTGTCTCCGATTTTAGCATTGATGAAATCAGATTTTGAGAAATATTTTGATTTGAAAACCTGAAAAGCCAACGAATTATGGTCTTGAAGAAATCTCTAAATTTGGTTTCCAATAAAAGCCATGTTGAATAGATCAAGATCCTTAAATCCAAGCCCTCCCAGCCGTTTGGATCTGCAAACTTTATCCCAGGATACCATTGCCCATCCTCTTTTCTCTTGTTTCCCGGACCACCAGAAGCTTCTAATTTGTCTTGTAATATTATCAATGATACCTTCCAGGAGAAGGTAACAAGACATCACATACGTGGGCAGAGCTTGAGCAACTAATTTAAGGAAGGTTTCTCCGCCCCCGAAGGAGATGAGGTTTTTGGTCCACCCTTGAATTCTTTCTGACCTTTTATCTATGATGAAATTGAAATTTTGAATCTTTCCTTTTCTCACCACAAGAGGCAAACCTAAGTAGGATCCTGGTTCTTGTTTCTCCTCCTCTCCAAAAACATGTTTTATGTCTTGTCTGTGCAAAGGATGAATATTCTTGCTGAAATAAATGCTTGACTTATCGTAGTTTATGTTTTGGCCCGATGTCTCATAAATTTTAAGGAGCTTATTAATCTTTTGTGCCTCCTGAAGCGAGTTTTTGAGGAACATGATGCTATCGTCAGCATAGAGCAGAAGTAAAATTTTGGGACCTCTCATGGCTCATGCTAGCTTTAACGCCCTTAATAAGTCCTTGTTGCTCTTTTAGTAACAGTGCTGACAGTCCTTGCGCGTAGAATAGAAATAGGTAAGGGGAAAGAAGATTATTGACTTTTTAAAATTCACACTTTTTAAACTTTGATCGTGTTTATTTTAAATATTTTAAATAATTAAATTTTATAAAATATATATTTGAAAGTTATTTGATTTGAGGTTTTTAAAATATTTTTTTTTTACATATTTTTATCAATAATAAATTTTAAATAATAATTAGTTAAAGTTTAAAAATTTGACAAAAAAAAATCAATAATGAACCTATTTTATGGACAGGGGAGTATTAATCACTTAATAATTTTATTTTAAAAAATATATTAATAAAATATTAAAATTTAAAATACTTTAAAAAAATAAAATTCAAAGGGACTTCCTTAAATTATTTAAGACAGAATCACATTTGATTTTATGTTAATAAGGAGCGTAAATAAATAAAGTATTTTTTATTAAAAATAAATAAAGTATTTGATGAAATGTTCGTGAGTCATTTGTATAATATCAATTTATATTCATTGAGTCATTTGTATAATATCAATTTATATTCATTTATTAAGTTAAATAAATGAGTATGAACTAAATTTTTATGTTTATTTAATAAAAGAACGAACCGTTGCATTAAAATATATAAGTATGTTAATAAAAATACATAATTATGGTCACGTATTTTAATGTATATTGTTATATTAAAATATAATATAAAATTAAGTGATAAATCATAATTACAAATCATAAGGTATTAGAAGTATCGTGGGAATAAAAGTGCATGCATTATTAAAGTTGTATTTATATTTAATGAGTGACCGAGTTATAAATATAGACAATAATTGATTTCTAAATCAGTTATATTAAGGGGGTTATGGTCTCCAAAAAAATAAATCATTTTGTATTTTCTTTTATATTGTGAGAGAGTTTATACTCAAGAGAATTCTATCCTCTTGGAAGAACTCAACTTGAAGCAATCTTCAAGATCTCAACTTTCTCGGTAATCTCCAACAATGGATTCAGGTACGCTTTCGCAAACTTAGTATTTCTTGTTCTTGATTATTTGCATGATTAGATGTCGGTTTGATTTATTGTTTAATTATATTTTGGTTTTAACAATAAATGTGTGTTTAGTTCGTATATGTTCACAAACAAGCTCATTTATAAGCTTGTTTTTCAACGTGTATATAAGCTCGTTTTTGTAATCGACCTTTCGGTAGGAAAATCTGACTAGGTACGACGATGGGTTTTTTTTATACGATTTTTTAAGAAAATATGGGAGTTGCCACCAATCATTTTTAAGGTGAGATTGAAACACCTAAAATCGAGTAATTTTAATAAAACACTTTTATTTTATAAAAAATACCAAGTTTTGGTGTGCGAAATCAGAAATCGGGTTCGGGAGTCAGTTACGCGTGGGGAAGGATTAATACTCCCACAATGCCCAAAATCTGATTGATTAGTCTACATTTTAAAATTGGAAATTTTGAGTTCGAAATTTCATTTAATTTAAAATACAACATGTATGCATATTTAAAATGATTTTGATTTATCAATACCAACAACGACCACCCCGGCACAAGCGGAAACTTCATTATCAATCTCAATAAATGAACGATCTTCATAATTTTAAAATCATGATGTTGGGTTTTTGAAAAGGATGTTAATTTACTTCGGGAATCAATAGCAGTCACCCCAGAGCAAAAGTGGAGGATAATATTAACCCCCTAATAAATGAACATTACCTTGTTTTGAAATCGAAATGTGCAATCAAGCAGTCAATTTATTGAACCTAATTATACTAGGTGAATTAATTTAAGGCTTCTCTCTAACTTAAAGTGTCAAATTATGAAATTTAAAGGACCTAGATGACTAAACCTAAAAATGTAGGCTCTAATATTATGGAATAGAATAATTAAAATTGAACATCATGCATTAATGCGAGGATCAGATAAAAAATTCTCTAAATTGAAGGACTAAAATAAAATTAAACCTAAATAAAGGCTCTAATATTAATCCTAATCAACTTTAATCAATTATTGGATCGAATAGTTGAAATGGGACCTCGGGCATAAAGGCAAGGACCAAATCAAAAATTTCCCTAAATCAAGGGATTTAAGTGAAATTAAACTAAAGTGGAGGCTCTAATTATTAATCCTAATTAATTATGACAAATTATTGAATCGAACAATCAAAATGGAACATCAGGCATTAAAGTGAGGACCAAATCGAATACTCATCTAACTAAAAACGTTCAGGGACTAAGTCTAAAGAAATCTAAATTTAGGGACTAAACCTAAAATCTAAGTATTCTAATTAGGGATTAAATTAAAAAATAAAAAATATGAGGTATAGATTGAAATAATACATAAAATCAAATGCAAATATTTAAAGGACTAATATATAAAGTGCGAAAATTGAAAGACTTAAATTTAAATACTTGAAAAATTGAAAGGCGTAAAATCTAAGGAGCTTAAGTACTAAAGGTATAGTTTCACCATTTCTTTAAAATAATAGGATGAGAATCTTAAATATACAACGAATATGTTTAAAAACATGAATATATTCACATACTTAAATGAATATATTCATTAAATAATTAAAAAAAAAAGATATAACTATGGTCATTCAAAACTCTATTCACTTGTAGGATAAATGCCGATCAAGTGATCTACCGGCAGTATAGTGAAAAATTCATGATTCAGGATGTGTACACGTGTAAATACAGATAGAGTTACAAGGTCCATTGAAAGTTATACGATCCTCGATGTCGGCCTTCACTGTCACTCCATTCCTGACTCCTTCCAATAAAGTTTTATATGCCAACCCAACTACATATTTTTACAAAATATAATCAAAACCTATAAAAAGAAAACAGCTCTATCCTTTTTCTTTTTCCTCATTGTACCTAAAATTTCCAATTAATTTTTCTATAAAAAGAACTGAGTTTAATATCATAAAAGATAGGGTAAACTACATATTTAATCACCCACTATTCAAGCGGTTCCATTTTGATCTATTATTTTCTTTTCTAAAATAATATGCAACGTTATATTTTTTATTTTATTTTAGTCATCTATCGTTACAAATTAATAGAATTATTGTCGTGATATTTTTCAACGATGATGTGATATTATCTTATGGTTCTACATCAACAGTTATTTTAATTTTTTAATGACGGATAACTAAAATGAAACCAAAACGTAATGTTAAGTATAATTTAAAAAAATAATTGAACGACCAAAACAGAACTGCATGGATCGTTGGGTGACTAAATACATTGTTTACTCTAAAAATATATTAGAAGTTATAGGGTAAATTATGTATTTAGTCACACAACTATCACCTTGGTTTAGTTTTGGCTATCCAACTATTATTTTTTTCAAATTCATACTTAAAGTTACATTTTGATTCTATTTTAGTCATTTATAGTTAAAAACTTAATGATGATATTGATATTTCACTATAAGATAATGTCACGTCACTATTTTTTATACATCACCGGTTATATTTAATTTATAACGGTATGATGACCAAAACTAAATTAAAATAATAGTTAAATGACTAAATAACGTAGTATACCCAAAATTATATTTTTTTTCAAAAAATAAATCTGTATGCTGGCAAATAGACCACCAAAGCTACATAAACCACTCACCTTTCTTCTCCTAAATGGCCTCAGTCATCAAACGTGCCGATCCACCTTTGGTTTCTGAGTTTACCCGATTTCCTGGTAACTGCTGCAGTTAGAAACCTGAAACTCAACCTGACAAACTCACCACTGTACCACTTCCTTCCCCATAGCTCTCATCTCGTAAAATCCCCTCATAACCCCATCAAAGCCCAATCTTTTCTTCGATCCTTTAATCCCCACCATACACAAAATCACAGCAATCTTTCAGTTTTTTGGCTTAGGAAGGGAGATGGAGAGCAGCAGCAGAGTTGGGGTGAAAAGGAACAGAAATGACTACAGCAATACCACCGCCACCACCACCAGTGCTTCAACTTACCTGATAGAGGATACCGAGACGCAGTGGACATCGTGGTTGGTACCTATGTTCGTGGTGGCTAATATCGCGCTTTTCATCGTTGTTATGTATCTCAACGATTGCCCCAACCGCAAGCACACCAGGCTTGTCGGAAAGTGTGTGGCCACCTTTCTTGGTCGCTTTTCTTTTGAGCCTGTCAAAGAGAATCCTCTCTTTGGTCCCTCTTCTTCTACGTAATTATCACTTTTCCCCCCTTCAGTGCCTTATGTTTGCTCTGTTTTCTCTTTGGGATCATTAGTGTTTGATATGTTTATTAATGTGTACGATCTTTTTTTCCCCTACTGGTTGGAGGTTTTGATATTGTTGGACTGATTGAAATGTTAATTCTTGTAAATCCCAGATCTTATCTGGCCTTTGAAAGAGGCTAAATGACATTGTTGTTGCAGATTGAAGAAGTTGGGAGCTCTTGAGTGGAACAAAGTTGTGGTTGACCATCAAGGATGGAGGCTCATTACTTGCATTTGGCTGCATGCTGGTGTCATTCATCTTCTTGTAAACATGCTGAGCCTGGTTTTCATTGGCATTCGCCTTGAACAACAGTTTGGGTTTGGTACTCTTCTCCATCAGCTTCGAATTTATCGAATTTTGAACCTTTTAAAACTGTCTGCAATTTAGATTCGGAGATGTTGCAATGATCTGATATACAAATTGAACATATGGCAGTGAGGATTGGAATTCTTTATCTCTTGTCCGGATTTGGTGGAAGTATACTCTCCTCTTTATTTATCCAAAACAACATCTCCGTCGGTGCATCCGGTGCTTTTTTCGGACTTCTCGGCGCAATGCTCTCGGAACTTGTTACAAATTGGACCGTATACACAAACAAGGTAGAATATTGCAGTACAAAATCAATAGTTCAATACAATGTTTCAGAAAAGATTGCTTGTTAACCTTATTATAGTATTCCACAGGCAATGGCTCTGCTTACTCTTATGGTCATCGTAGTCATTAACCTTGCAATAGGGATTTTGCCACATGTTGATAATTTCGCTCACATCGGTGGATTTTTAACTGGTTTCCTCCTCGGCTTCATTCTTCTACCTCGTCCTCAGTTCGGGTGGTTAGAGCGGCAGAATCTTCCGTCCGGTGCTCGACCAAAATATAAGTACAAGCCTTATCAGTACGTCCTTTGGGTGGTTTCAGTGGTGCTGTTGGTTTCAGGGTTAGTAAACACATTCATGCTCCCTTATGGTTTTAAGATGATCATGATCTCAAAAGATTCGAATCCCAGTTTTTGCCTACTGATCGATATTTCGATATTTGAGTAAAATGCAGATTCAGTGTTGCATTGGTGATGCTGTTTAGAGGAGAAAATGGAAACGACCATTGCCATTGGTGTCATTACTTGAGCTGTGTTCCGACCTCGAGATGGGATTGCAATGAAAACTAGCAGCATAGCTTTCATTTTTGTGTGTGTGTGTTTTTTTTTCTTCACACATAATTTGTAAATGCGTAAACCAGAGTGGTGTGTTTTCCTGTTCTTGCTTTCTTTACGTATGGAATGACTGAAATTGTTATTGATTTTACATCTCACCATAATATTGTGTACATGATGAAAGCTCATGAAATCTCCCAACCCCAACTTTTATATGGTTTTTTCTGAGAGGAACTTGATTTATCTCCTGCTAAAATCTGTCTAGAAGTGGAAATTTTGGCACTTTAAATCTCTTATCTGCCACTATAGGGTTTGACTGAAAATTTGAAAATTTTGGCTCTAACAAAATGGATAATTACATTACAAGTCAATTATTTGTAAAATTACAAATGGATTATCTAATTTCAAAAAATTACAATGGAGTCATTTAATCAATCAATTGTTACAAACATAGAAGGCACTCGAAAACATTTTTTTAATGATTTTCTTATAGGTAAATTACACCGAAAGTAATCTAATTATCAGTGAGATTACAAATGAGTCATCCAAATATTAGTAAGAATATAAATGAGCCCACCTAATTTTGAAAAGTTGCAACACTTAATCGAAAATGAAAGCTCAATTCATGTTTTAGGATACAACTGGTCGAACACACCGTACAAACGCAACTGTTCAAATCCAGAACATGTGAGGGGAATAACACTCCCTTTAACCCCAAAACTTCATGATGAATAACAATCCCTTTAACCGCCAATTGATGAGTTCTAACTAGCTCCACCTTAAATCAACATTGCTTGATTATATTCATTCATGAACACGTAAGTAGATTGATTAGGCTTAAATATATAAATATTCAAAAAGCAACGCACTACCATTTGCTTTTTAAGTGAACCCTTGTTTATCCAAGACTTGAACAAGTTAAAACAGCCAATAAGCAATGATGGCATGTCTTTTTCACCTTCACTAATTGTGGGCGACAACCCTACACTTAACTACCACAATGATTCTAAAAAACATATCAGATAGTATGGCCATGCCATGATATCAATAATGTTAATCATGAAGTAAAGGATAATTACAAGCCAAGCACGGCCACAAGAGGAAATGAAAGTAGTACGGGGGAAATGGGAGAGGGGATCATCGCCCTTGGTGGACATTAGGAAACTTATTCAAGTCATCAGATGTTGGATGAGGCCTGTACCTATAATCGACATGTTGAGTGAAATCGCTTTCTGAATTAGCCCCTGAATCCCAGAACCCCTGGAAAGTTCTTCGGGTCAAGCCATACCTGTCAAACTCCAGTCTCTGCCTTGGGGCACTCTGAGACCGGTACTTTGCTCGGGATGATTCAGTATTCGACATGTAGTTTGGATGGCCGGAATATCCGCTTAAATATCCCCATGAGCATTCGCTCCTAGCAAAAGGGCTTCTCCTAGCACTGCTTCCGGGTCTGCTGGATGATGCAGAAAGCACTTGCGGGCTGTTGTCAGTATCAGCAGTCCTTGAAATTGCTTCATCTTCCCTTCCATGATGCTTTAGTGATAAAACTTCGTCTGAGAAGTTATTTGGTACCCCTTTTCCTGGCAGTTTTCTCTGGGAGTCGTATGCCATGAAGCTCTGGTTATAATCAAAAGCTGTGCTATGCTGAGATGCCCGAAAGTTCTGGTTACTTTGCTGGGAGTTCAAGTTAGGTTTCCAAGTATCTACTTCGAGGATTTTGTCACTCTTCTCATCATCGACATACCTATGTATAGGCAGCACATCTCTAAGGTTATTCCTTAAACTTTCCTCCATCCAATGGTCCAACCAATTATATCCCATCCGTTCTTTCTCTAGATTGATGATGTCCATCAGATTTGAATTTGAACCACATCTCTGCATGAAAAAGAAAAGAAAAATTCAAGACTGATTCAAATATCCAATTTTATACTCGGTACACTTATATACGATATGGGGTAAGGTTCAATTCTCAACTGATCTAGGAACACTACAACTTTAAACTTTACGAAACTAATATATCCTAAAAATAAAAAAGTTTAGAACATAAGACATAATATACATAAATTCATCTCCGGGATACCTTTAGGATTGCAGGCCCATCAAATTTACACAAGCACGAAGCTGTCATTCATCTTTTACAGAATTTTCATATATCTGCAAGTATGTATATGTAGGAAAAAGTAGGAAATGAACAGAGGGAACATACAGATAAGTTATTCTCAATAAGATCTTGTATATCAACTACGGCTTAGTATTTTTAATCCATCCGTGCGCTAGGAATAATGTGAACTTAAGGCAAGCATATCAATGACATATTGTTAACCTAACACAAACCTTCTGAATCACGTTTATAAATGAATAGATAGGGAAACTAAAACCGTCACTAAACAGCAACTAGAGTAGGGGTCCGCTTACAGCATTTCGTGAATGGGTTATTTTGCAGGTTGAATCAAAAGATTTCGTCACATAAGCACGACTAGCACGGGCTCGAGCTTGAAGTCTGACCAATATTTGCATGCGTCTGAGCATGTCTGCCGTTTGCTTTCTCACAATGTGGCCTCTCACCAGTGCTTGAAGCTTCACCAACGCTTTCAATGCCCTCAGTGCTCTCCGTGCCTGGACCAAGTGCCAGAAGAAGTCAAAAGAATCGAGCACCATTTCCATTAGAGACTAGCAAAAACCATGGCATATGTACCCAACACATGTTTGAGTAAAAGCTTGGAACTAGAGACAAATGAAGGTGTAAAATCTACCAACTTTCCCCAAACTAACTAGCTTTTAGAGCAAATTTAATAATCAGTAATGGGGTTGATGTTAATTCTGAGAGCATGTGAAAATGAAATGGTACCTAACTTGCACATTACTTGTGAAGGATGTTCCAGAAAGCAAGCGACCAATTTTGACAAAAATTTCTACAGAACAACCATTCAGGTCTGAATTCTTCCAAATCTTTTGACTGCTTGTTCTTTAAAATCAGTAGGAGACAAGAGGGGAAACACAAAGATAAAAAAAAGGAGCATTAATTTAGTCAAACAAGTCGTACAAAGTTTCACATGCCACAGCTTCATCTTCTTCCATCATTTCACTTTCTTTTCTTTCTCAGAAGATAAAGAAAAGTAAAGAAAGCAAACTCATCTTCAATCTCATTACGTAAACTGAAGCCATTGAAGCAGTGTTTCAGAAAAGTAATTTTTTCTTTCTTTCTTTCTTCCTCTTCTTCTTATGGGACCATTTCCAGTTGAAGCTTTGTGTCCCAATTCACTCTCCATCCAACCTTTTAAGCATCTTTAACATCTAAAATCTAATTTTTGTACTTCAAAAAAGTTTTTTTTTTCTTTAAAATTGGGATTTAAAGGTGAAAAAAAGCTCAAAAGCATATCAATTATCAACTACAGTTCAAACTTACGAAATTAACTAAGTTTTCTTAGCCATGAAAGACATGGAAAATGAAAATCTCATGGACAGTAATCACAGTGTTGGATTCAAGCAACAATAAACATGATTTAAAAATTAAATACTGACCAGATAACCTCGAAAAACGGACTGCATCTTAACAGTCGCCACTTCTTGTGAGAGGCGTCTGTTGCTCCCACCGGTGCCGCCAACACCACCACTACCACTTGTTAGCCTAACGACCTCAGCCGCCGCATGCGCTGCGGCCAGAGCAGCCTCGGCGAAAGCAGCAGTGGCTGCTGCTACTGCTATTGCGTGCTTGTTGGCATCCAATGTGTCATTGCATGAACCAGAAAGGACATTAAGATGAGAAATGGAAGACGTGGGATGAGAAGATCTGGTAAAGCTCCACCGCCTCCAGTTTTTATGGGGGCGGGGTTGAGTGGGCTTCTTGGCGCCAAAGAGTCGCCGGAAAAGACCCATGGCTCATTGGCCGTCGACTGCACCACCAATTGAAAACATGGTTAATTGTAATACACGCATTTTTTTCTCTTTTGGGGTTAAACAATGGAAACCGAGTGAGAGGAAGAAGTGCAGAAGCTTGGATTTTGTAGCCAGAAGAAACGAACCACAGCTCACAACAATCATACCATACGTGTCTCTTTGATATTTGCATTGCACGCGCATCGATTCTTTTTATAGACTATGACTATCCTTTTATCACCCACGTATTTTTTTGTATTTTTATTTTAGTCATTTTTTAAATTATGTAAACAAATTGGTTACTGATAGTTAGGAGGAATGAGCACATTGACAGATATTGACGAAAAAATTTAAGGAGTCAACTGAAAATTTTAAAAATTCAAAGGTTTATATTAAAATTTTTAAAAATTGCAAAGGGTTTAGTTTATATTTTTTTCTAAAAAGTTAGGGTCTAACTAAATTTTTTTGAAAATTTGAGAGGCTTAATGAGAAATTTTAAATATTATGGGAGGGGTTTAATTAATAAAATTAATAAAAATTTAAATGTTAATATGAATTTTTAAAATTTTGGGGGGTCAAATTAATTTTTTTTAAATTAAGGGTCTCAATTATAATTTTTTAAATTTTGAAAGGACATGGCCCCCACTAGTCCTGGTTGAATTTCACTCATTAGTGAGCTTTTGATCAATTCGAGTAAAAAAAAACTTTAAGTTATTCTAGTATTTTGTGACTTAAACTTAACTTGAAATTTTTTTAAGTCAAATCGAGTTTAAGAAGTTCGATTTGAGTTATTCGAGTTTCTATACAAATTTTATTATGATTATTTATAGTATTATGGTAAGGATTGATTTCAATTTTTTAATTTTCTAACCCCCACATACATACATACATACATACATACATACATACATACATACATACATACATACATACATACATACATACATACATACATACATACATACATACATACATACATACATACATACACATACATACATACATACATACATAAATACATACATACATACATATACATACATACATACTACATACATACATACATACATACGTACGTACGTACGTACGTACGTACGTACGTAGTACGTACATACGTACATACATACATACATACATACATACATACATACATACATACATACATACATACATACGACATACATACATACATACATACATACATACATACATACACATACATACATACATACATACATACATACATACATACATACTACTACATACATACATACCATACATA